AGCAGGGAAAAAAAATCTTTTGCATGATGTTGAGAGGAGATTGTTGCAGATTTCCCTGTAAGGATTTGACCCAGACCAGTTAAAGCGCAGACTATTAGTCAGCGTGTTTAGTCATGAAGCAAACATTTCTCTCTGTTTTCCTGGAGTACAGTTTCCAGATGGCAGCCCAAATCGATCTCCTTACAAACACAGCACAAGCCTTCTAAAGTAATGCTTCATATTTTGCAGATCAAATCTGCGTTATCCATAATAAGGACATAGGGTGTTTCTCCAGAGAATAAGTTCTTAGTCCCATGGACTCGGTAAAGCTAGGAGTGCAGCATTTATCAATCATTTTAACATAAATGTCTGTCAGTTTGACATTTAGAGAGATGAACAGCAGAACGTCTCTATGGAAACAGTTTAGCTGTAATGCATCCAAGAGGAACAACGTCCCATACGATAATCACAAATGTAGCCTGGGAAAAAAGAAGTGCTTTTTATTCTAAAGGTAATGCGAGTCCATGTGTTACATTATTTTATTCAGAAAAAAAGAAAATGTTAAGAAAAATGTTAATCTTTTGCATTGAACTGCCTGCACATAGAAAGCAAGAGCACGCACAATAAGGAACCTAGCCTGAAAAGACATCCTTTTGAGTGTCCATGGATAAAGAGGGGTGTTGAGTTTTGGCTTCAGAAGAATCTTGATAGTGAACAAAATGTTTTCCAAAAATCCTGCCCCTGGTTTCATTTGGAAGAATGGATCTCAAGAGGAGTCATCAGCAATCACTTCTAATTGCTGTCTCTATCCCACTTGAACTGATACTCGCCTATTCCTCACTGTTTCATCTATTCCTCACTATTTCTTCAAACCGTGCTGGCTTTGGAGCATTGTTTTTCTTATTAACACAACAGTTGAAATAACACTGACAGTACGAAGGAAACACCTCAAGTATGGATGGATTCTGATTCATTCATTTGTACTGTTTGTTTTAATTGAAATCATAGGTTGTTGGAGATGAAAAGTATATGGGAAAGGAAGTCCATGAATGCACAGTGTTTACTACAATGGAAAATGGCAACATTCATATTTCAAATTTCGGAGCCTTCTATGGATATAACAAATGTCCACTTAAAGAGTGTCTTACGTGGCAAAATGCTCTACAAACCAGCACAGACAATATTTTGTTCTTTGCTGAATCACAGCAACTTTTGCAGTCATAAATACAGTGGGAAGAACCAAACTGAGACATCTTGGAAAACTAAAAAAATAGACATCTTTAAATTTCGTATCCGTTAAAACTGAAATGACGGAGTGGAGAGAGAAGGAAGGGTTAGATGAAGAAATAGATGTATTGCTTTAAAATACAAAACTGGTACTTGTAAAAATTTACACCCAATCTGGCATTTTTGAGAGAAACATACTAGCTGCTAGGTAGCTTTTTGTATTAATAATATTATGGTATCACTGTGTTGTTACAAGTGGTTTTCTCTGTGGTTTTCTTTAGTTCTCCAGATGTAGTATTCACTATCCCAAAAGGCTATACTTAGTCTAGATTAAAGAAGGAAGAAGATCACCTACAACAGAACTTGTGATGAAGGAGTATGAGTAATAATTCAGATGAGAAGGAAGAAGCTGTGCTTGGTAGAATTAAGAAGGATGCAAAGGTGAAAGGCTATAGGAGATTGCAGAGGGGAGGATGATTTATATATAAACCCTGTGAATGGGAGGTTTTGAGAACTTTTTGGTGAATTAGTGAATTTTTGTTACTTCCTAAAAAATGGGTTACTATTGTCTTCCCATCTTCAGAGATTTGAAAATGGCGCAGAGCATTTAAGTAGCTGGATGGTGTTCTTTGAGGTTGCCAGCACATGAATCAAGATGCAGGAGCTTGTTACTGGTGGTCGTTGCCTCAGTCCACCCATCTCCTCAGGTTGGCCAGAGACTGTCTGCTAGGAAGACTGGTGGTAGGGCTGGCCACTGCTTCAGAGTCTGTAGCTTGTCCAGCACCATCAGCAGCACCCTGGGTGACCGTCCTTCCCACGAATACAAGTTTGATTGTATTCTGATTTCTGATTTCTTCTACAAATACAGGTACAGGTGGTGATGAGTTTCAGAAGTTAAACAAAAAAAAAGGAGGAGGTAATTGCAAATCTGCAATTCAGCATACATTTTCAAACTATACCTAGGAATGTCAAGGAGTAGAAAATACTTCTTAAATTCGCCTCTTCCATTCATTGCTGTTCTCCAATATTAGTTTTGAGATTCCTGTGTTCCTAAGATTTAGGAAGGGATACCACTGGCCATGAAATATGGATATATAAAGAAATGACATGAGAAGTGGAGTCTAATGAATGCAGATGGCAATACCACAGATGGCAATACCGCAGATGTAGTTTAGAGCAAGGAAGAAATACAGATTCTACTGACATTACAGGCTAAATATAGGTAGGCAAAGTGCAATAACTGAGGCCAGATGTTGGTCAGACAACTAGCATTGTTCAGTCTATTCTTGCAAAAAATTGGTCTTGGATATTTTATGACCACAGAGGAAGTACCCTTTCATCTCAGTAATGCCCTTTAGTGCCCTGCTGCAGCTTTGGGTTAGTAATGATTCCAGAAAGAAGAATACTACTCACCTGAACAACATACATTTTCTTTGTCTTTCCTGAAACAAAAAGAAATGTTTGTTTTCCAAACAAGTCCGTAGCCATTCCAGCCTTAATTGTTTTGTGAAATCTAGTAAGGTGCTGGAGCTATACACCACATGAGCTGAAAAAAATCGAATTATATGTTATCTTTTAAAGATCCAAAATTGGAAGCAAATACCTGCTAAGTTACCAAGATATTGAATGCTATTTAGTTGAATTCCTACCATCCATTCCAAGAATGTAATGGTGCAACATTTAAAGAATAAGTTCTCTCTTCTGAATGTGAAAAATAAAAGAAATATTATTGCTGTCATGCAATATGAAGCAATGGTAGCCACGTCTTTACTGACTTTATTGATACACTTGTCTGGGGGTTTTTGAATTAATCTTCTTTGTTTGGGATATGTCCCATCAGTCAAATTTGAACTGAAAAAAAAAAAAAAAAGAGAGAAAAACTTAAGTGGCCAGAGAGATTTCTTAGAATCCCTATTCCTCCAAGAACTCAGATTTGGGAAAAGCAGGTGATATAAAGGCTTTTTTCCTGGTAACAGGCACAGATGCTGAAATCTTAACTCAATTGTAAACATTTAGTCAACAAGTAAAGAAAAAGTGATGGCCAGTGAAAAAATCCACTCACAGAGTTTTATAAATTCAGATTGGACCCATCTGAAACATAAACCAGTTCCTTAACTGTCTATTCCCCTTAGTATTAATTATGGAGAAGAGAATATCTCCGTTAGCTTGAATGATGGCAAACATACATATTTTATTATTTTGTACTTAGACTAGGCAAGGAGTCAGAAGTCAGAGTTTTGCCAGTGTCTCACGGCTTAACTCTGCAGAAGCCCTGAACTTTTATCTGCCTCAACTTTTCTATCTGTATAGTGACTATGATAGCCTCATTTTGGACAGCACAAGTAGGAAACATTCCTGAGCATTTTAAAAGCCACTGTCTGTTTTTGCACTTCTCATCACAAGAACATATGATCTCCAAAAGTTCTAAAATTCAGGGGCAAGGGGAGTATTTTAAATTTAAAAAAATACCAAATGTGGAAAATGGGAATTTCTTCAGTACATTTGCATGCAGTGCACTAGAGGGCCCTCAGGAGTTAGAAATGGATGGAATGCACTTTTGGAAGGCACATACTTCACAGGACTTTTCGTTGCAGAATTTAAAATAGAAGTTGCTGGGTTTTGTTTTGGTGAGGTTTTTGGTTTTTGGTTGTTGTTGTGGGTTTTTTTTTTTTTTTTTTCCCTAAATAACGTGAGGTTCATGTAAGTTTATAGCAGTTCATATGCAAACCACCTCTCAGTACAGTTTGCTTCCAAACAGTATTTAGCTTGCAATGAAATACCTAAATGTGAACCATACTTAAAACTGAAATATGTGCTACAATACTTTGAGAACGCCAGCTTTTACTAAGTTACTTTTGTTAACCTAAGGAGTTTACCAGAACGAAGGATGTGTCAAGCTGAATAGGTAAGAGTTTTTCTGTTTTTATAGCAATATATATGCAACATGCACTTATTCTATCTTTGTTTCTTTGAAAAGATATGTAAGCCACTGTAATTTTATTTGAAAAACTATAGCTAGTTCCTATTTATGGCTTCACAAGAGTGAAGAGAATTAATCATCTTTCATCTTTAGTATGTGTTTATGAATTATGTGAACTATATTCATATTCAACGAGGGAAATTTGGCACTGCTAATATATTTTTATATTAGTGAATATGTACATATTTAACTACTACAGTTACTGGTGGTTAATATTGTATAATTTACAGCATTTCCATAACATGAGGTTTCGTGAAGACTTTGTCTCGTAAGAAAGTGATGATAATGACCTGGGTTCGACAAGCTTTTCTTTTAATGCTGGAATACAGGTAGCTGAGATTGCAAATCGAGCCTCTATGTCATGATCTTGGTGTTTCATTTATACTGTAATGAGAAAGTGAAAGATGCATCCTGACAAATTTCTAGATGCATACTGTCTCATCTAGAACTCTATCTCTTAAGAATATAGAACCACAGATGCCATATGCAAGTAATGAAATAAAATACTACTATTTTCTTTTTGCAGTGTGCAAAGGAGATACTTCAGATCTTTTAGACTACAAGTCAGTAAACTTTGCTTACGCAGCTGGCTCCATTCATTCTCTGAAGCCAATCACTTCCCCCGTGGTGGCTGATAAGAATTTAACAGCTTGAGAAGGTGGAGTGTCAGCATCCTTAGTGCTAAACACGTTCCCAGGCATATCAGTAGCCTCTGTCCATCACCCATGCTGGAAGCTGTCTGGAAAAGGAGAAATAGAAATCGGGGAAGGGAAATCATGCATCATTGTCCTGGCTGGAATGTACAGAAGACTTTATGCTGTTTTCATCATGTGGATTCGCTAGAGAAATGACCACCTTTGATCAACCAAGTAAAATCAAAAACTTGTTTATTTGCTGCCTGTGCCCCCCACGGGTGCTGAGGCTCTGGACTTGCAGGCGCCCAAGGACAAGGAGGAATCTGCTAGTGGGCACCGCGTGTGTGATCTACCTGGGATTCCTTGTCAGTCAAGTGGGTCATGTTTTACCACAGCACAAAGGAGGACACCAAAAGATCAGTTCCAGAAGTCTCCAAGATGCAGCCCAAACTCCTTTTCTGGGCATCCCACTGGATGGCACCCTGTCACCACCCAATTTCCAGGAACCCCAGCTTGGTAGCAATGGGACCTTGCTGCCACCCAATGTAGTTTATATCACCCTGCGGTCCAAACGCAGTAAGCCTGCCAATATCAGAGGCACGGTGAAGCCAAAGCGCAGGAAGAAACATGGAACCCCTTTGTCCTATGGGCACCACTTTCCAAAAGCCACTTTTATGGGCCGGGAAGAAGCCTTTGCCCAACAGCCAGGGAGGGCCACACATGCCGTGGACACAATGGGAGCTGCAGTAGCTCTGGATGTGAGAAAAGACCAGCTGGATGAACACAGACGTAAGAGAATGGCAATCGGGGAGAGGGGTCACCAGAGACCTGGGAGGATTTCTGGAGCTATAAAGGCACAGCCCCAGCCTGAGGAAAGCAATATCAGGATTTACAGCGAGAGCTCTCCCTCTTGGCTGAGCAAAGATGACCTCCTAAACATGCGCATGCTGGCAGATTCTCGGATAGAGAGCATCCAAGAAGCACCTTCTCGCAAAGCAGTCCTGGTAGTATTTGCGAGAGGTTCCAGCACCGCAGGAACTGCTTGTAATCAGGGACGCTGTGGCATCGTCAAAAGACCCCTCGACATGAGCGAGGTGTTCGCCTTTCATTTGGATAGGATCTTGGGGCTAAACAGGAGCTTACCTTCTGTAAGCAGGAGATCGGAGTTCTTCCAAGGTAACATCATTCCTGTGGTTTTCAGCTTGCAGGTGGGGTGCTGAGGTTTCCTTCCCCCTCCCATGTTAACCATGGGGCAGCAGCTGCCACCTTTAACTCCTGCCAGCCTGAAAACTAACCCGGTCGTTAGTGGGAAATAAAGCTGGTATCTGTGTGTGACTTCTACATGCAATTATCCTGTCCAAAGGACACACTACCCTGAAGTTTAGATCAAATACCATTGAGCTGCTGTGGGCAGTAACAGTTTCCCTTCCACAAGAGTCTGGAATAAGAAAAAAAGAGAGTCATCCGTAAATCGCATGACGTTGTACAGACTGCCTGAAGTGAAACCAGTGAAAGAAATTCCAGAGTACCCTGTGATTTGATGGGTATTTCTGATTTTTTTTTTTTTTAAAAAAGTCTTCTCGTCTTTTAGAATTGACTTTGATAAAATGCTGTTGAAAATGAGCACAAGAATTCACCTCTCAAACTGCTGGTAGGAAAGGGGTTCTGTATTTAGTCAGATAACCTACTCGGAGAGGTAGGGGACCTTCTTGCAGAAGCTTGATGCTACTTTCATGGTACTAATACCTCTGGGAATTGAAAAATTTTGTAAAATTGCTTCTCTCTCCCTTGATAATTAAAAAAAAAAAATTTCAAACAAACTACATTTCGGTGAATCCTGCTGTACATTTTGAGGTTCACCACACACATCTATATATTATGCAAAGAAATACATGCAGTAAATATCTCAATATGCCTGTTACGTGATTGGTATAAAGTTTTCAATTAAGATTTTGATTTTTAACCTTTAGTTAAATTAAAAGTAGATTTCAGACATGTAATGTGAGTTAGAAGTCTACCTCTAACATTGCTATCTTGTTGAATGTCTTTAGCCTAACTGCTATTTTTGAACAGTCACAAATCACAATCTAAAAGGACCACGTTTCATTTTAGTGAATCATTGCTAAAGTGGCTAGCTATGTTTTTGCTGTTCATGTCTTGCTGCTGAAATTAGCTTTAACCAAATACTTTTATATCAGTCTGCCTTTCTTAAAAAAAAAAAATAAAAAAAATGCAAGAATGGCTTTGTAAAGTTTGACAGCAGAAAGGAGACCCAGTGATCTCCAATTTCTTCCAGCTTTGTAAACCTTCCCTTTGGCAGCCTGTACAACAATGTGAATGAATCTCTAGGAACAACAGTTTGGAAGCTTCTGAATATTATTCATACTTGCAGAGCATGGAAGATACATTTTGCCTAGTTTATTTTTAGGAACAAGATTTATTGCTGCAGAGCTGTCATAAGGTATTAAGGTAGTTCAGTTGGAGGAACTCTGCGCACTGTGGCTGCGGAGATGACAAACTGCAAGCCTCTGAAAACTGCTATTAGGCTAATTGTGCATTGTGTTGCTCTGTGTCTGTCACCTTGCAGCATGTTTTGGACTGTCTGGGACAGAGACTGTCATTCTGCCCTCTTTAGTTTTCTTTTCCTCATAGCTGGCTGTGTTCCTATAGCGAGAAGAGTGTTGCTAGGTGATGAGAAGAGGAATAACATTATTTTGGTCTCACTTCATTTTTTCCAGCTAAAGGGTGAGCAGAGCATTTGGAACAGTTACTGTACCTTGTCTCTCTCCATTTCTTTAGCCTGGAAATATGCTGGAGCTCAGATGCCTAATATCTACTTGAGCTCATTACTATTTACATGCTTGTGTTTGGCATAATCTGGAAAACATCTGCATTGCAAAAATGAACAAATATATTCTTAAAAATCATATGAACATTTAGTGAGCTCATTTCTATAACCTATATGCATTTAAGTTAAGGTTAGGTGGGCGCTGTGAAGTTTTTTACAGGGCGGCTTGTGTGAATCATGGTTATTCATATGGGAAAGCAAGCAATGCAGGATTAGAGACTGTGCATGTGGATATGAATGTACACAATTTCTGGGCTGACATATCTCTCTCCATGACACATCCCTTTAGCTTGCCTCAGTTGTGATGTGATCTAACAAGACATGTTTGATGTAGCATTAAAATCTTAAAAAATGGGCTTTTCAAAACTGTCATTCATTTTGTCAAAAGCAGTTTCAAAGAATCACTTAGTAAATCCCTGTACAGGTTCTGTTCCCCCTATTCCCACAAATCCCCTACTGTTTGTGGGGTTTTTTTGTGTTTTTTTTTTGTTTTTTTTTTTTTTTTTTTTTTTTTTTTTTTTTTTTTTTTTTTTTAGTCTAGCAAAATACTGTATGCAAGTGCTCTGTCTGCTGCCCTTGCCTTCCCTAGTTAATTGTAAACCGTTTTAAGTGTTAACTGATTTTTTTTTATGGTTTATCTTATTTTTACATCATGGATGGAAAAATCAGGTGTGGTAACTCTTCCTCTCACATTTTTGCACTTAATTGGCTGAATGTAAAAAGCCTGGGGAGTATGGGTGGGCAAAGACCTTTTGAGTTCAGTATTACAGTCTAAAAGAGCGTGATTCTGGGCATGTGCAAGCAGTCATTCATTACTCCCATTGCTACCTACAAGGTGTGAAAAATGTCAAAAGTTCCAAAACACCTATAAACAAAGGATAAGCCTATAAACCAACAAGAAATAATCATAAAATTGTGTGTGTTGTGGAGAAGATGGAGACTGACCATTGCATGACTGAGTTTTGGGATGGTCACATCAATACCACAGGACTGAGAACCTTCATTTTTTGATCACCTTAACCTGAGGAACAGAGGAGACATAAATGAACTTGCTTGGTGGCACAGCCCTACCGTAATTAATTTGCAGAGAAGCTAAGTAAAATGACTGCACGTATTGTCTCTAGCTCAGCAACAGCATTTGGAGGGTAGGACAATGCCAGTGTTTGTTAGGGCTTGAGCTACAACCAGAGTAACGTGGGCTGGAGCAGGCTTGCTTCTGGGTTGCAGCTGACAGCTGTAGGGATCAAACTCTGGCTCCTTGGATCGTAGCAATAAGGCTGAGCACTTTGTTCCACTTTTGGTACAAAATACACAGCTATTGTTGTGCAGTTTTGTTGCACCACTTATTGAGGGTCTAAACTACTGCATGCTGACGACCATCCCTCTTCACTCCTGGTTGTCTGGTATCATAAGTTTGACTAAATATGTTTTATCCTGTACAGAGAAGAATAAGCCCAGGTGTACTCAATGCAGTTGGGTTTTTTTTAGCTAAAGATTGAACCCACTGTTTGCCCAGAACCATTTTTTTCCCCCTAAAACTTGCAAGAAACTCTTCCTTTGAGTAACACCTTTCATGGTTGGTTTAGCGCAAATAGATGAATGACACGTGATAGATAGCTCTGCTGGTTGTGCTTGTCATTTTGCTTTACTGGCCTATACATGATGATAAATGGAGCCATAGGTTTCTCTGTGCTATACCCTGCACCATCAGCCTGCCCTTGCCATCCCACCGAGAGTTAGGGAACAGCAGGCAAGAGATACTATGGATCACTAATGTCAGGGCAAAGAATAAGAAAAACCTAACACTGCCTTATCCATTCAGAATGCTCTAAAAGGCTTCAATTTATCTGTCTCGTTTTCTGTCTAAAAACCCAAACAACTTACACCATAGTGTTGTACCTATATCGGAGGGGTACCAGGGGGCATATTTCCAATATTCTGTTGGGTAGAGAAGTTTGTGTATGAGCAATAATGCAGCCCATAGTCTCAAGAGCAACTAATGCACATTTCATGTATTCCTTAATTCTGACATCCATATGAGCGCAGGACAGAAACGTTGCAAATAACGTGCAGAGGGAAGAAAGAAAAATAAATTGCCTAACTTCTCTCTGCTTTCTGCTTCTGTCCCTTATATTTTAGCTCAAAACTTAATCTTAAGCTCTAAAATTCAAGTAATGCTCTGTATATCAGTCCCTCTCATCTTTCCACACTAAATTACTCTCTTCTGCTAATATGTGGGCAACTAAACTGTTTCTTTCAAATGTGGCAGTGGTAAGCTTTAACTACCTCATGAAAGATTTGCTCTTCTTAGTGATGCTGTCACGGGCATTTGAAAATATTCTCTTCTGAGGAAGTCGAAAAAAGATGCTGTAGATACAAGTTGGAGTACAAGATGGAAGAGTAACATTTGCAAAAGCGTCTTCAGGGTTAAGAAGCATACAGACTATTTTTGAAGTCATGTGGGGTGTGGATATCTAAGATGATGCCTATGTTGAAGAAGCCATGCAGTGATACGGTACCTAACCTGCACATGAAGCAGTTTGAGTCTAGTCTCAGCAGCCTGAAGCTTCATCTCTGTTAGGTTATTCAACTTAGGAGCTACTGGCTCAGGCTATCCTAAGGGCCTAAGAAATTTTTAGAAATATTTCAATATTTAAAAATTTCTATGAATTACTAGGAAGCTGATTCTGACACGAGTTTTGAAAAATCATTCCCATACAATTTTGCAGATCATCTTTAGATAGTCAAGTAGATATATAGATCTAAAATGGCAGATGAAAATAAAATGAAGTCAATCAGCTTTGGGTGAGATTCAGTGCAATGCACCTGCAGCAACAGAAAAGCAGTAGCCCTATGCATTAATATATAAAGCTGATTAGGAAAGAAGCACATGCAGAACGCACTGGACTTATTCTGAAGTGTGCTCAACCTCCTCAGTTTTGTCTGTATCAAACTGGAAGCTCCGATTCTTAGCCAGGCCTTACTTTTCACCGTTCAGTTAACTTCAGCCCCATTCTCATGGGTTTGAATCAGAAGAGCTCCACTGATTTCAGTGGGGTCATGCCAAATCACTCAGCTATGAATCAGACCCCTTATCTGCTTTAATTCAACATCTTCATGTTTTTCCTGAAAGTGTCAGAAATTTGAATGACTGCTTTTTACTGAAGCTGCTGTTTCATATTCCTGTAATTCGATTTATATTACAGAGTTGAAAGATTTTATTTTGGCTCATCTTTTCTCCTCCCATTTCCTCTGAAATGCAAACATTTCCTGTATTTAGACTTGGTCTTTTAAAAATGTTTTTGTATCCTAATGGAAATTGGCAAGGTATTATTCATATTTTTCAAGTATTTATATTACTATTGTTTATCATGTCCCTTTTGGGCAGACAGGAGATGTTTGTTTTGTTAGAAGACCATTTATGTATTTGGTTTGTGGAAGAATTAATGAATAGTTACGTAAGCTGTTATTGGAGATATGAAAATAATAGATCAGACTTGGTCCTGAAGAAAGCTATCTTTTTCTGGTGACAATTCCCAATGCTTATATGGACTTTGTCCAGCTGGCTTGGAAAAGATGCTTAGCTGATAGTTGACCTGACTTGGCTGAAGTCATCTACAATGTAGGTGATGGAGCCAGAGCAACAGAGATGGGGACCCGGTTAGGATTTCCCAAATTAATTTCTTTTTCAGGCACCTCAATAGAGGAGAAGCCTGATTTTCAGGAGTACTCAGCACTTTTTTCAGCTGAGGGAAGAGTGTGGAGCATGGTGCTGATAAAGGTAGTACTGATTCTAGTGAAACAGAGATTGATGTTCCTAATGGAAGGACACTTTCTGTGTTCCTAAGGAAACATTGGGCAACTGGGAGGGAAGTTAAAGAGGTGGTGGAGCTGCGTGTTGGGTTGGCTGGAGAGGTACTACCTTGTACATGCAAGCCATGGCAGAGAGAAGATAGAGAACGTTCTGGTTTTGGAGAGGAGTTTGTTTTTCTCTTGGGCTTGATTGCACGTGGGGCCTATCGTGCTCTGTTGGTGAATAGGAGATGGCTCTTTACATATGGTTCACTGCTAGATATGGGCAAAGATCATTTGTTACCTGTTGTTTTAGATCAGTCGGTATCCTTTGAACAAGTGGCTTTTTGATTCAGCTGTATAGAGATTGTTTAACAGTTCTTGTTGCAGACAGATGGAACATTCACATCAGCAGCTTTTACCGTGTTGTTGGCACTGATACCCGTTTTCTATGTGCTATTCTCTGTCTGGTTTGCCTCTGGAGAAGGTGCTGTGCATCTCATTGCCTTCATGCGAGTTTCTGAAGGCTGCTTTTCAGATCCATCACTGGCTCCATGGGCGTGTGGAAGACAGATAGTTTAGGCTGCATTTAACTATGCAATAAATTGCACAGGAGTGTGGAGTTCAGGTTCTTTGACCTTCAAGATGAATATAAATAAATTTTAAAGCTTTAAATGTGTTTCAACACTTGCTATTTAGTAAATAGCAGCTTTGCAGTTAAATGGTTCCTCCTCTCTGTACCCAGACATTATATTTTAGTCTTCTGTCCACATCCAAAAATATAAAGGATTTCTTTGTTTTAATGTGTGTACAAGCCATAGTCAGTCCTTGACAGTTTAAGACAGCAGCAGCATTGCATCAGCAATGAAAAGGAGACTTCCACTTTCCTAAGAGAGATGTGCCTGTTACTTGAGATTGGGTGAAATATATTTGTCAGTTCTTACACTGGGACAGTTCATTTCAAATTCTTTGCTGAGGTTTCTTCCCACTAAGAACTCTGAACACTTGAATTCAAAGATAAGGCCCTTGAATATTCTGCTCTTTCCTGAAACTAAGTCTCTACACAGAAGAACTAAAGAATTTGACAAAAATAGCTTCTATACAAAACAGGTCTCATGTTATATCTGGGTAAAAAGAATAGTTGTCAAGGTGTTTATTCATGCTAAGCTTGCACTCTCCCGTATTCTCATATATCATTTCAGAGCTGTGAAATCATACATTATAGGTCTGAAATACTAAAGATAACAAAATAAATCCATGTTGAGTATAGGATTTGTAGACTTTCTGTGCTCATTATGGAGAAAAAAAAATTGTTTGACATAAGTTTTCCACTTTTGAAAATCACCAGCAGTTCAGTGGAATCAGAGGGAAATAACATTGTTGATTCACAGTGGCATTGTAGGCTCTTAATCTACCTATAAACTTTTTAATAGTCTGGTTTAGCATATGATTTTGTACATTAATCTCTTACTTCAAACAGAGAGAGTCTTCCATACACTAAAGACATTTATAATGTCTGTGCCTCTTCCATTCCTGTGGTGACTGGTTTTAGTTGTGGACTAAGACCACATTGACCAAAGGATGTCATGTTACTAGTCCCTGGCCATTTTTCCTGCCACATCTGTGAAATGGTATAATTATTGATGCTTAGGCAACGTCTAAAGAATGACCAAGACTGACAGTATTGCACTATACTGATGATCTGTTTTTCCTTTTTCAGATGACCAAGCACGCCCTGTTATTCTCTGGGATTCCTCACTGAGTCCCACAGATAATAGTACCCATTCCTCAGTGAGATTAACCTGGGGGCAATATCAGCAGCTATTGAAGCAGAAGTGCTGGCAGAATGGTAAAGTTCCCAAAGCTGAGTGGGGCTGTACCGAAATCCATCATCATGAGTGGTCCAAGATGGCACTCTTTGATTTTCTTCTGCAGGTAAAACACTTACTGAATGCAACTATCTGCCTCAAAAAATCATGTGAGCACACATAGGATTCCTAGAAAAGTCATTTTAGTTTATTTTCTTTTTTTTTTTTTAAACGCGGAAGAGATGTGTTTACACAGTTTGAACTTGCTTCTGGTTGTTTCTTATGATTAAAATATCCAAAATGCAATTTACAATCAGGGAAAGGGATTAGGAACTTAACTGACTGATTTTCTAAAAGAGGAAGCAAAGGCTTTTGTCTTGTTTTACTTCACCTTGAGGCAGGCATACTGCTTCTTCATGACTCCTTGTTTCTCCAAAAATAGTTCTTGACTATGTTCACAACTGTAAATATCTGGAGTTTTTTACTGTGTGGTCCTTCCTGCACCTCCCCAGCCCCAAGAGGTAATTTAAGTGGTTTCGGTCAGCTGAAGTTTGGATCAAGATAAGAGTTGTCTTGACTAATTTTCCTGCTTTTTAAAAACCTAACCAGCGACCTAGTAAAGAAAGAGTAGAAGAGCAAATGATGAATGCTAGAGCTGCTGTTCTTCAGTTGGGTATTGCACATAATCATTAGCTCTCCAAGTAACACCAAACTAGGGCTCTGCCCGGTGGTATCACATGTGGCTACAGTTACAGCAATTAGGTAGTAGAATATTAATACTCTCTCTGTATTAATAAGGCCTGCTGTGAACCACCTGGTTAGAAGCTAATTTTATGGCTTCCTGAGATACGGCACTACTGCCAATTGTCCTTACCTGCCAGACAGGTCCAGGTGACTGAGCCTCCTGCAGCACTTGCTAGTTTATTTAAAACTGCAGCAAGCACTAGTTTCATGCACTGTGTTTGGTTGTTCATAGAATTCTGCTTTTTATGAAGTTACATTTCTTGAAATATAAAAATCATGACTTGGCTTATGCATAGGCTATCCATGTCCTTCCCAGTCCTGTTCTAGGATGAATGGATATTTCCATATTTTTTTTTTGAGTTACATTTGTGCAGACTTGTTATGTTAAACAGAGCATTCAATTGTTTTCTAAAAAGGGATTGTCACTTGACTAATGACTCCATCTTTAGTCCCATTAGGAGAAAGTAATTCTTAGAAATGGGTGTATAAAGTCAAACGTGGATTATTCTGATGCTAAACATAGTAATGCCCCTATAGGAATAGTACAGATTGTGTCAGAGTTAATGTTTTCATGCCATTGTCTTCTTGTTGAAGAGTTTAAAAATTCTCATGAGTTCAGTGTTGTTTTCTAATTTTAAGGTCTTCTAAGACAAGTTTTTAATCTTCATAATAGAACTCCTTTTATCCAGGAGGAATGGTCAGTTAAAATAAGATACAACAGGACTGAACTTCACATGACAAAGAAACAAGTTACTCTTATAACAGTATCAGAGTGATTTGTACGTCCAGTTGCCTACCAGAAACGAACATGCATACCAGAAAGTGAGTGAAACTGGGTCTTACGGTTCTGAAAGATTAAACTTTACCTGGATGCTCTCAGACTTAACTCTAATGTTTATCAGCAGTAGAACAGGAAGACTCCGAAACAAAAAATGCCAAGAGTTTCCAAGTTAAAAAAATAAATCTGTGCTTCATGAGTCATTCAGAAATAAAGAATAATGGTGGAAAGTATTGTCTATTAAACATACTTCCCTCAGAAGAATGGATTTGTTGCCCGTAATAGATGTACCTAATCTCTGGTTTCAAATGCTAGGAAACATAGGAGCAGGCTGAAAACTGACCTTCAATTTGTTGCCCGTAATAGATGTACCTAACCTCTGGTTTCAAATGCTAGAAAACATAGGAGCAGACTGAAAAATGCTTATAGCTGACCTTCAGTTACCTTCTGCAAGAACTCAAGTAAAGTAAGGACATAAAATGTAAAATGGCTTCTTTAATTTTGGGGGTTTGGACCTCTCAGGTACATAAATATATGACAAACCAATGCTAAACTATTAGTAATAGATGTACCTAACCTCTGGTTTCAAATGCTAGAAAACATAGGAGCAGACTGAAAAATGCTTATAGCTGACCTTCAGTTACCTTCTGCAAGAACTCAAGTAAAGTAAGGACATAAAATGTAAAATGGCTTCTTTAATTTTGGGGGTTTGGACCTCTCAGGTACATAAATATATGACAAACCAATGCTAAACTATTATGGTTGCAGCATCAATTCCAGAGTGTCCCATCATTCTGTCTTAACACTGGAATATATGCAAGGTGTTATGAGAGAGGCTCTCTGTAAGAACATGATCTTGTCTATTTAATGCATGCAATGAAGTGTGGTGCAAATTAATTAGGGCTATACATCAAAGTAATCTGTCTAGAAGAACTCTGTTTCACTTCTTGGCCAAGCCTTTGGATGAGTTGAATGAGAGATCCCATGGGCTAGAACACTGCAAGCAAGAGTGGTTTAGTACCTGCAGATGCTGAATGCTACTCATGAAAGGAGAAAGAGGAACATAAATCTGCTCCTTTCCTCAGGATTTTCATGTTTGAAAACAAACACTACCACCAAGACTGGTGGCAATGGGACTACATAGTTAAGAAAAAACAAAACAACTCTCAGACTTTCATTTGGTGAAACGAAATTAGGAGGCCTTTTCAACATGCAATACAGTTCTACATCAGGAGAAGAGTCCTAACAGTTCATTTCACTGGGGTGTCACAAAAATAGGATTGTAGGAGGCTTATGTGAACATCAATGCTTTTATGCTTAGAGCAGTTTGAAGAGTTAGCAGTATGCAACAAACAAGGACAGAAAAAATGGTTTACCTTTGATAAGCTACTCATCAAGCCTTAGATGCACCAGACCAGACTTCCACTCTCTAAGCACCCATCAGCAGGAGCAGGGCTGCTACCCAGGAGATGAGCTGGAGTCAAGGGCAGCCCCACAGCAGGCAGGACTAGCAGCAGGAGAGGCAGCCCAGCAGGAAGGATGGTGAAAGCTATGGATCCCATTGACAGCCTGGTGAGCATCAAGCACAGACCCAGCAAGCCAGCTCCAAGGCCAACAAGCAGGAACCCCAAGCAGCAACCCAGGAGCATCAAGTAGCAGGACAAGCAGCAGAAACACTCACCCCCGAATGGCTCAGAAGAGGGCTGACACACAAGGCCTGAGCTTAAGTGGGGCTTCTGGGCTCATGGGCGGAGGGGAGTGTGTGTGGGGATCCCAGGTGAGGTTGTTTAGGGCAATTAAGGCCTATTTGTGCACTCATGGCCTTGGCAATGTTGTGTATTTACTCTCATCTAGTCAACAGGGGTAGAAGCACTTTCAACGAGTGATTTAGCCTTCCTGTATTAGATGGTTATCCTAAAATGGCATCCTTTGCTCTGGGGATGCCTTGTTCTTGTCATTGTTTATGAAAGGGAACATAAATGACTAAGTCAGATGCTTAACATTTACATTGCTGAAGTTAGACCAGATGTATTCCTTCCAGCTAAGTGCTGTGTGATGAATAAGCAAGGGTTTGCATGGGAAAAAATAGCCTAGACCATTACGTCATTAAAGTATATACCGCAGTGCAACTCAGGGAGACTGTGATTATAAATGCACTCTTGCATTTTGTAGCTTCTGATGGTTTGTTGTGCCCCTTACTAATCTTTTTGATTATTTTGCGTGCTATTAGTCTAATAGGCACCACAAAATGGAGACCCTCTGTGTGTCAGGCTGTGCTATTTCTATTGTTCTCCAGCACAGAAAACGTAAAAAAACCCTACAGCCTTCTGAAAAAAATAGAATTGTATTCACCATCTTGTTATTCCAGCTACGCAGTGGTATTGTTCCGTTATTTTCAAAGAATTTCTACTGACATAACAAATCATGGCTATAAAATGGATAAAATACACAGTCTGAGAAATTACTTCTAACAGTATGCAAAGTATACAGAGCGGGTCTTCAACGCCATTTCACTGCTGACTTTAATTATGCTTCTCCTGAGCTTGCTTTTTGGTTAGTTGTGTTAGTGAGCGATGCCTTACAGTGACACTTTGCCCCAAATACTTTGATATTGTTTTCACTTGGCACTCCGTTATACTTTGTTTTAGATCTATAATCGACTAGACAGAAACTGCTGTGGATTCAAACCTCTCAAGGAGGATTCCTGCATGCAGCAAGGACTGAAGCTGAAATGTAGTGATCAGGATGCTGTTGACCTGACACACATAGTTCAGAGAAGGCATGACCGAAGGCATTTGGCCTTTATAGACAATAAGGGTTTCTTTGACAGAAATGAGGACAATCTTGACTTCAAAATACTACAAGGAATCAATGAGTAAGTTTTAAGTTATTAATTTTGTAAAAGATTGATAATTTCTTCCCAGTTTGAGCATGAGACACTAAGTTACTGGAATAGATATCATCGGCCCAAGACATTTACAGGATGTGTCTAAAAATGTATGAGTAATCCCACTGCTGCAAAAGATACAATGAACATGCATATGATTAGGCATGCATGGACTTCCTTTGCTGAATTGCAGTCTATATTCGTAGAATTGATTGCTAAACCACAACATAAATATTGCAATTCAGAGTGATGGCAAAGCTGATGAATTTCTTTGTGCTTTTCCAGATTCCCTGAATCTGCAGTTTCAGTGCTGAGGAGCCAACGTTTACGTGAGAAGTTGCTCCAGTCTCTGTTCCTTGACAAAATATACTGGGAGAGCCAAGGAGGCAGAAAAGGAATTGAAAAGCTTATTGATGTAATAGAAAGGAGGTCCAAAATTCTTCTTACTTATATAAATGCACATGGAGCCAAAGTATTGCCCATGAATGAATGAAGCAGTCTTGTTTCTATTTGAGAGATTGTCTTTAAAAAAATTTGTATGAGGCAAAAACTAACAGTAAAATTGATTTAATTCATAGGCTTATTTAATTTTTATTTTTTCCAAACTTTCAAGTTTATTTTGGAATAAGAAGTCTTACATGGTTTAAAAGGAACATTTAAATGTCACCTGCAGTTCAACACAGTGCAGTCTCTTCTATGTCACCAGTGAAATGAAAATAACCAAATGGTACAATAAATAATGTAGCAATATGTAGGTACCATGAACACTCCTTCTGTTAAACTGTTTGGAAATTAGCAACAGGATTTTCAGTACATTAGGCTGGATTACTGTTACTTTGCTCATTCAAGTCAGTAAAAGTTTTATTGCATGGGAACAGAGATTTGTAAGCATTAATACATTGATGAAAACTGTCATTGCATCTACCTGCTGAAACATACCTAGTACGTTTGTCTTTTTGATTATCAATACCAAAATGTCAACATTTCCAAAGGCTTATTTTGTTTTATTTTATTTTGATCTTTTGAAATCTGAGGACTGAATTCAGCTCTTTTAAATGCAGGGGTGTTTCCACTGGACATGAGGGAAATTTAAAAACAGAGTGAGGAGAGCATGGCTTTAACAATAATAATAGATTTGACAAATACAGTTTTTACCTGTCCAGTACAGAGTACAATTTGTCATGAGTCACTCGCTACAATGTACTAATTTCAGTACAGGTTGTTTTGATGTGTAGGTGGATGATCTGATATTTTTTGTTGATTGATTAACTGGGTGTTACTCACAGAATCGTCCTTTATTACCACTATTTTTAAAAAAGAAATTCAGCTTTAGCTTTGTGTGAATATGCTGCTAAATAAATGTACATGTTTTGTTTTTGCAACATTCTTGACAATATTTTTTTAGAATAATATCAAAAAGCAGACCTACTAAGAACGTGAGTGTTGTTAAACTCAGCACAGAAAATGTTTATGCTGCATGCTCAGCTCTAGCCAGCAATTCAGGTGCTGGTTTTCCATTAAGATTGACCACTGTGGGGTGATGATTCTAGCTGACAACTTGCCCCAAGTATTCCCACAGGTAAGTTTGTTAGAGAAGGTTGGATGAGCACTTTGGATTTTTAACCCTCATCTGTGCCAGAAATAAAATATCAAGTGATATAGTCTATCATGACATATACCTTCTACCTATCTGTTTGGAAAGACTCTTACTGTCTTTCTAGAGAAATATCTATTATCTTCTTGCCATGAGATCATGACAGAAGTTGAATACTTTCATAGCTACTCTTATCTTTATGTGTAGTAAAAAAGTATTTTTGAAAGTGCTTGTGTAATGATATTAATGAGAAACTAAAATGTTTTGTGTTGATGTTAATGTGGATGGGTGAATTTAATATTTTAAACAACTACAATTCCACTGCAGCTAAAACAGTTTTTCTTTCTTAGTATCAGAACAGCTATGAACAATAATTGCATTACTAGAAGAAATAGATCTCATTATAGGCAGAGTTAAAGATACTTAGTAACATTTTAAGAGCTTGGCCATCTAAATAATCTTTTATTTTATGCTGTCAGCAAAGGGCAGATGAACTTGTAAAAACTTCCTAGAACTTAACTATTGCCTTGAGAGGACATGTTTTAGAGTGCCTTAGACTTTTTAAAAGCACCAAAGTAGAATTTTGTAGGATTTTCACATTATCCCTTTCTTAAAATGTTGTAACCAGGTAATTTCTATCACAGAAACAAAAATATTACTGTAGCTTGCACTGTGAACAGAGCCTAGAGAAAGGAATAATCCTCTGGATCCACTTCACATGGAATTCCTGTTGCAGTAAATTTCAGTCTTTGATGACTGTTATGATCAATTTGTCTCATTTTCTAGCCTATCTCACAGTTTTCTTCCTGCTAGATAACTGTTCAAATGGATTACCACACATTGCTGGGAGTGAGAGAAAGGCACAACTCTCAGCTGCACTGAACTTAGATACAAGAGTGTACCTGATCATGAAAAAAAGTCCCATGAGAAATCTGTCTTCTAGCTTTGCTTCTATCTTTAGACTGCACATCCTGATGCCAAGTCATTGCCTCACATTGCCCAGTTGTTTTTTTTTTTTTTTTTCCAAAATGGACTCATTGGCCAAGAACAGGAAAAGATCAGAAGTCAGGATTTTTTTATCTTTTCAGGTTAGGTAATTTGTGTAGATAACTTGATGCGTTCTTCTCCATTTCTTCTGGACATGGACTAGTGTTTCCTTGAGCATGATACATGCTTTTTTTATTTGCCTGGCAGTTCAATGCCAGCTCTTAAAGCACCAATGTCATTGCCAACTAGTAAGTAATTACCCCGAAGCTGACCTGAAGCAATGTCTCTCAGTAGTCCTGAGTTTAAGAGGTCCAAGTAGCCACAATACTGTGCAGTACTTAAAAATTTGACCAAGCATGAAAAGCATAACTATAAAGAGCAAATCTCTGGAGACACATCCTACAAATGAATGTCCTTAAGAAATGAATGGTGTTTTTTACTAGACATTTTTGGTGGCAGAGGCATACAGATCAAGTTGTCATTAGAGCTAATCTGCAGGGCAAAACAATGTTTAGACTTAATGTAGAAAGCACAAGGGGAAGGACAGGTGTATCTCCCTGTGCTGTCTAGGATGGACCAGACAGGCCCGTAAAGGCACTGTCTTCTCAGAACTGCTGCAGGAAGCAGTAAGTTCAAAGCAAGTAGCCAAGGCAGACTGAGCTGTGCCATTGCTGCACACATTACACTTTCCAAGAGCAAAGGAATACTTTTTTCTCTGAAAGTCTGAATTTGGGTCTAGGGCAAGGCGTTTCACATCCTGCTCTCACCTTACGATGGTGTCTTAGCATTGCCATACGCATAGCTGGAGGCTTGGCTTTCTATGCTGTGTCAACATGCCGTATTTCTTACACGTACAAATACTCGCATAGTCTTCAGGGAAGTCAGGAGAGGCTTTGTGAGATTGGGCAGTGGGACTGGACTGCAAATTACTTCTAATTCCCTAATGTTGATAACAAACTCCAGAAAGTGCCTTTTCGTCATAGTGTTTATCCTGTTGCTGTGGAGCTTGGTACTTGAATCCAGAGTTGTTAATAATACAAAGTGTGATTGCAATAATGCTTGTGAGTACACGCTAGGCAACTTCTAGTTGTTTTAACAAAAATGAAGCATTCTGTACTTTTTGAGTGCATTTGCATAAATGCTGCAGTAAAAAATACAGAAGCAGCACTTTGCAGAGCTTGTTTGTTCGCTGCTACTACAGTCAAGATATCTTCTCTCCCTTCAGTAACAGGAGTAAAGTTTATTGGGAAATCAGTCCAATTCCTTTTAAAACAGCATGACATCAGACTGACATTCCTGCACTGTAGCCTAAGTAATATTAACCGATAGGAAAAAAACTAAAGAAGCCTTACTCTACCTATGGTGGTGATGGACAGAAAGCCAAAAAACCGTATTTTAGTCATCTTTGCTGGGCTGTCTTCCGTTTATGGGCATATGGGATCAGACAAAGATTCATGTTGCACATTATTCGGAAGGGTGTAACCAACAGCAACAATCCAAAACCTGTGGGTGGGAAAATACAATTATGTCATTCTTGAATCTGCCTGAAAGCCAAAACCACATGAAATGGAATTACTAAGAAAGTCAAGAGAGTTTGCTGATTTCATAACATTGGAAGACAGAGCTTAAAATAAGTAGCACAGGCACAGATGTCTTAAAATTCCATGGGAGCCTGCCAGCAAGTTAATAATCTTAAACGTTTCAGAAGCTGAGGACATGAAAACTTTTGTGGAGCACTGTGAGAGCAGTTTCCTTCTTTTTTTGTGTGTGTGTATTCTATAATGCACTATATTAAAAGAAGATAAATTCCATGGTTTCAAATGAACAAATACAGATTTAAGGTACATTAAGGGACAGGCTTCCAGTAGTAATTCTGGGAACACTTTCATGCATGTGTGTGTGTATGCAAACACAAACATACATGTATATGTACCTTGGCTTGTTTCTGTAAAATGGTCAGTTTGGCTAATAAAGAGTGAGTTGTTTATACAGTTTGCTGTTTACATGTAGAATTGTATTTGTGAGCATAAGTCCTGTTTTGGGTATACACAAGTTGAAGTTTAAACAAAGTACTGTTATGGGTGAAACTTTTGTTCTCAAAGGATTAACTCTTCCCTTGCTAACACATTTATATAATCTTAAAAGTTTTCTACTTACAATTGTAGAGAAAAACAGCAATATGTTTGTATCTGAGCTCAACTGCCAGTGTGATATCAACTGAGATGTTTTTATGGAGTTATATATTAGATATTGAATTTCCATTTTCTTCTGGAATTTGTGCATTTTAAAAGTCAATTTATTTGTCCTTTTATTAGCAACAGTAAAAGCGTTACCACAAGTAATGAATTGTTTGGATCTCTGCTGCTATTGTCATGTAATGTCCAGGAATATACAAAATAAAATAGTATCTTTGTCGGATTTGCAGTTCAGATCTCTAAGCTGCAACAAAACAGTAATACATATTAATGTAATATATGGATCATTAGATGCTGTTTAGGCAGAACTATGGCCTTGAAGCTGCTTCTTCAGAGAAACAATCCAAACCAGCTTATGAAGCTCTTCCTGTGGAAATATTTCCTAGCTGTTTACTCATGAGACTTGTAACTTCTGGTATCAACATGGGTCACTGACTGGTCAAGTTTGTAACAGACCGTGAGCAAGTACAGGAACAGGAGAAGGACACTGAACTCTACGTGGAATAGAGACTCACACAGAGTTAAAGTACCCTAAGAACTTTTGGTCTCTGCAGTTTACATTTTTAGTATGATCCAAGAGAGACTAATGGGAAACACCAAGATGTTGAAACATTTTTAAACATTCTCTTTCCCACACAAAGTAATTTGATTTGTTTTATTAAAAACATTATTTGTTTTTGCACGTTACTGCATATTTCAGGCCAAATTATCTCAGATACATTTGTGCAAATTCATTGCAATTCCACCGAATTATCCCATTTCCAGATAAAACGGTTTAAGTCAGTTAGGTTAATCCATATTCTCAGAGGTTGGAGAACTGAAGCCTAAGGTCAAAAAAAGACCTTAGGAGAGTGACAAACAAATAA